TCATATGGGGCAACAAAAGACAGCAAATAGCTATGGTAATCCTGAGAAAAAAGAACAAAGCTGGACCATCACAATCCCTGACTTCAAAACAATACTAGAGAGCTTTAGTAATCAAAATAGCATGGTCCTGGTACAAAAATAGACATACAGATCAAGGGAACAGAATTGAAAGTCCAGAAATAAAACCACACATCTACGGATAGCTAATCTTCAACAAAAGAGCCAAGAACATACAATGGAGAAGGAAAAGTCTCTTTCAATAAATGGTTTTGGGAAAACTGGACAGCCACATGCAAAAGAATGAAAGTATACCATTATCTTTCATCATACACAAAATTAACTCAAAATGGTTTAAAGACTTGAAGATAAGAGGTGAAACCATAAAATTCCTAGAAGAAAATATAGGCACTACACTCTGACCCCAGTCTTGGAAGGATCTTTTCAAATACCATGTCTACGTGGGCAAGGGAAACAAAAGAAAAAATAAACAAAAGGGACTTCATCAGAACAAAACAAAAAGGCAACCCACCAAGTGGGAGAAAATATTTTCAAATCATGTATCTGACAACAGGTTAATCTCCAAAATATAGAAAGAACTCACACAACTCAACAACAAAAAAACAACCCAGTCAAAAAATGGGCAGAGGATACGAACAGACATTTTTCCAAAGAAGATCTGCAGATGGCCAGTAGGCACATGAAAAGATGTTCAACATCACTAATCATCAGGGAAATGCAAATCAAAACTACATTGAGATATCCCCTTACACCCATTGGAATGGCTATAATTACCAAGACAAAACATAACAAGTGTTGGAGAGGATGTGGAGAAAAGGAAGCCCTCATACACTGCTGGTAGGAATGCAAACTGGTGCAGCCACTGTGGAAAACAGTATGGAGATTTCTCAAAAAATTAAAGAATTGAGGGGCCAGCCTGGTGGTATAGTGGTTGAGTTTGTGTGCTCTGCTTTGGCAGCCCTGCATTTGCCGGTTGGGTCCTGGGTGCTGAACCTGCACACCGCTCATCAAGCCATGCTGAAGTGGCATTCCACATAGAATAACTAGAAGGACGTACAACTAGGATATACACCTATGTACTGGGGCTTCGGGGAGAACAGAAAAAAAGAGAAAGATTGGCAAAAGATGTTAGCTCAGGGCCAATCTTCCTCACCAAAAAAAGGAAGAAAGAAACACATTCTTTTAAAAAAATTAAGAATCGAAATACCATTATGACCCACCTATTCCACTACTGGATATTTATCCAAAGAACTTGAAATCAACAATTCAAAGAGTCTTATGCACCCCTATGTTCACTGCAGCATTATTCACAATGGCCAAGATGTGGAATTAACCCTAGTGCCCATCGACTGATGAATGGATAAAGAAGATGTGGTATAAATATACAATAGAATGAATACTACTCAGTCATAAAAAAGGACAAAATTGGTCCATTTGCAACAACATGGATGGACCTTGAGGGTATTATGTTAAGTGAGATAAGCCAGACAGAGAAAGACAAACACTGTATGATTTCATTCTTATGTGGAAGATAAACAAATACATGGACAAAGAGATCACACTAGTGGTTACCAGAAGGGAAGGGGGTTAGGAGGTGGGCATAATGGGTAAAGGGGCACATATATATGATGACAGACAAATAACAACATGGAACTGAAGTTTCACAATGTTATAAACTGTCATGACCTCAAAAAATAAATTGAGAGATAGGTAGTTGCTGTAATATTGGTTCAGTTTCTCTGTTGTAATTTGAAGGACCAGAGTTTTTTTTAGTCTTTCATCTGGCATTCTCGGTATATTGATTTTTGTCTTCATTTATCCCCTCCTGGTGTTTGTGCTATTGTCATACATTTTACTTCTACATATGTCAAAAACTCTACACTAAGTCAATTATCTTTTTTTTTCTTTCGAGGAAGATTGGCCCTGAGCCAATGTCTGTTGCCAGTCTTCATCTTTTTGCTGGGGGAAGATTGTTGCTGAACTAACATGTGTGCCAATCTTCCGCTATTTTGTGTGGGATGCCACCACAGCATGGCCTGGCGAGCAGTGCTAGGTCCATGCCCAGGATCCGAACCTGCGAACCTGGGGCCGCCGAAGCAGAGCGCATGAACTTAACTACCACAACACCAGGCCGGCCCCAAGAATCAATTATCGTTTAAAGAGATTGAAATAATAAGAAAACAATCATATATTTACCCATGTGTAGTTACCATTTCTGGTGCTCTTCATTCCTTTGTGTAGATCTGTATTTCCATCTGGTTTCATTTTCTTTCTGCCTGAAGTAATTCTTTTAACATTTTTTGTAGTACGCATGTGCTGGTGATGAATTTTTTCAGCTTTTGTATGTCTGAAAACATCTTTCCCCATTTTTGAAAGATATTTTTGCTGGATGTGGAATTTTAGGTTGTTTTTCAATTTAGGTTGTTTAGTTTTGGGGTTTTTTTCATTACTTTAAAGATATTTCTCCACTGTCTTCTTGCTTGTTTTGTTTCTGATAAGAAATCTGCTATCATCCAAACCTTTGTTCTTTTCTGTGTAATGTGTCTCTTTTTCTCTGGTTGCTTTTAAGATTTTTTCCTCTTATTCTTGGTTTTGAGCAATTTGATTATGATGTACCTGAGTGTATTCTTCATGTTTCTTAGACTTGTGCATTTATACTTTCCATCACATTTGGAAAATTTTCAGCATTCCATGTCTTCCACTACCTCCTTCAGAGACTTCAATTATGCTTATATCAGGCTGCTTGAATTTGTTCCACAGCTCACTGATGGATTTACTTTGTTTTTTTAGTCTCCTTTTTCTCTGTGTTTCATTTTGTGAAGACCCTTTGTTTTTAAATTTACGGATCTTTTCTCTGCAATGTCTAATTGCTGTTAATCCCACCTAGTGTATTTTTCTTCTCACACATTGTGGTTTTCATCTCTAGAAGTTTGAGTCTCCCATGTCACTTAACTTTTTTGAACATATGAAATAAAGTTATAATAGCTATTTTAATGACTTGGCTGCTAAATCTCACATCTGTATCAGTTCTAGGTTGGTTTCATTTGATTGATTCATTGCCTCATGATGTGTCTTATTTTCCTGCCTGATAATTTTTTTTTTTTTTTGAGGAAGATTAGCCCTGAGCTAACCACTGCCAGTCCTCCTCTTTTTGCTGAGGAAGCCTGGCTCTGAGCCAACATCCGTGCCCATCTTCCTCTAGTTTATACGTGGGACGCCTACCACAGCATGGCTGCCAAGCAGTGCCATGTCCGCAGCCGGGATCCGAACCAGCGAACCCCGGGCCGCTGAGAAGCGGAACGTGCGAACTTAACCGCTGCGCCACCGGGCCGGCCCCCTGCCTGATAATTTTTTATCAAATGCAAGACATTATGAATTTTACTTTCTTGGGTACTGGATATTTTTGTATTCCTGTAAATATTCTTGAGCAGTTAGGTTAGTTGGAAACAGTTTGTTCCTTTTGGGTCTTGCTTTTAAAATTTGTTAAGCAGGTCTTGAACAGTGGTCAGTCTAGAGCTAGTTATTCTCCACTACTGAGGTAAGACCCTTCTGTGTACTCTACCCAGTGTCCTGTGAATCTTGACGTTTTCCTGTCTGGCTGGTGGGAACAGGCATTATTCCTGACTTGGTATGAATGGCAGGCACTATTTCTTCTAATTCTTTTCAGTTGACCTTTCCCTGGCCCTGTGTAGTTTCCTTGCCTACAAGCACCGATCAGTACTCAGCTGACTATTAGAGGGGGTGTTCTCTGTAGATCTCCAGAGTTCTCTTTCTCTCCTCCCTGGTCCTCTTTCCTATGAATTCTAGCCTGGACTCTCAGCTTTGTCTCCTCAACTCAGAGAATTCTCTGGGGTCCACCTAGGTTTCCCCTCCCTGTGCTGTGACCTGGAAAACTCTCGTGGTAGTAATGTGGGTCAATCAGAGCTAACCTCGTTTGTTTCCCATCTTTCAGGCGTCATTGTCCTCTGTTGCTTGATATCCAGTGTCTTGCAAACCGTTGTTTCATATATTTTGTCTGCTTTGTGGTTATTGCAGTTGGAAAGGTAAATCCAGTCCCTGTTACTCTATCTTGATCAAAAGAAGTCCCTATATGAATTTTTGACTCCTCTATATTACTCTGAGGTTGATGATTGCATTATTTAGTGTAAAAGATTTGTATATGCAATAGCTCTTTGGCATCTTCTCACTAAAGGAGGACATTCCCTGGCCATTCTATGAAATCCCTAGAAGACATCTGTAAATTTGAGTGCAGTGTGTTTTTTGCAACAGCAATCATGATTCATTGCTTGGTGTTGGGCATATTGCTCTCCCAGGCAAAACTGGGGTTCTTTTAACAAGGAAAAAGAAGTAAATTCGTATTGCCACAGATTGTACAATTGAGGGTTTCTGAGCTCGCCATGAATTGTGTCATATTTAGGTACTTTTATTCATAGGTCACTGCATAAAATCACAAATAAGTAGAACCTTGCTCTCTTTTACATGTCTTTTTTGAAAAAAGGCTTTGCTAAATATCTTTGTCCATTAAAGGGTCATATACTTTAGAACTATGTAACCATCTCTATAGTAGGTTTTAAATAGAGCTGTAATAAGTTAGACAGGAGAAACCAGATCTTAGGAAATCTACTGGCAGAACATTGAGCCTGGTAGTTATTACACTTTGAAATCTTGCATACCAGTCAAAGGATTTTTGTTGTGTCAACTGACAAGTGTTTTTAAAATGCAATAACTTCCTTCTGTTTTCTAAATTGCTCTTTTTCACCCTTGGTTTTCTTATTACTTAATTTCTACCCTTCACATATTTTTCTTCTCATGTCCTCCTTCCTTTTAGATCCACCTTTCTCTGGTTTCCTCAATCAACTATTCCTTTTCTTATAGAAGTGATTACACAAGAGCAAATGTAAAAGACCAATAATATTTTATTGACTTCCTTGAGCTTTTAGCTCACATTTGAATTTTAATTAGTTTGTTCCCTATTCCTGTAGGTGTCCTTCAGGTAGTGAAGCAATGTGTCCAGATCCCAGTTTTTGTGATGATTCGGCCACGTGGAGGTGATTTTTTATATTCAGATCGTGAAGTTGAGGTGATGAAGGCTGACATTCGTCTTGCCAAGCTTTATGGTGCTGATGGTTTGGTATTTGGGGCATTGACTGAAGATGGACACATTGACAAAGAGCTGTGCATGTCCCTCGTGGGTAAGAATTTGTGTCTGAGACCAAAAAGCCTCTAATGATGATTCCATTTAATACTCCTGGTATAGAAAAATGCAATCACAAAACTGACTTTTCAGTCACATCTGCAGGCACTTATACTAACCTATTTAAACAGTAGTTATTTAGATGTTTGGGGCAGAGGGTTTGTGTGGCATAGCCCTCCTGACTCTCCTCAGTTGCCATAGATCAGGTTCTGCTACTGTTCCTGTAGGGTTTAAGGAAAGTTTACCTTGATTCCTTTAATTACTGCGCCAAAAACTTCAAAAGCTATTTCAGTTGGTGAGGATGGGGAGATGTGGAGAGGACAGAAGCAAACTACCCATATTACTAGGCCAAAGTATTTCTTGAAGATTCTCAGAGGGGTAAGTAATAGATGTAATGCTACCCTTATAGTTGCCAGATTATATAACTTTTTTTGGTGCCTCTAAGGAGTAGATGACCTTTTTTTTTTTTTTAATAGATACAGTTTATTGTATGTCAATTTTACCTCAATAAAGCTGTTAAAAATAAAATAATAATACAAACACATTTTCACATATAAAAACAAGCTCTTTCACAGATGCCAACCCCACCCTTGCTCCCTACATGTCCCTGTCCTTGTGTGTTTGTATCTCTACCTCTCTTGCTCTCCTGTTATCTCTGTCTGTCTCTCTTGTACCTTCCCTTTGTCAGCCTGTCAGCTTCTATCTCTGTGTTATATCTCTTGTCCATTTCTTGGCTTCTCTTTGTGGGTTTCTTTCTGTTTTTGTCTCTGCCTCTCATCATATCTTTTTTTCGTTGTAAATCTTTGAAGTCTGGTATGACTTTTTTTAATCAGAGATTAATGGAAACATAGGACTTTTCAATTTGGAAAGTTACTATTTCGTTGTTATTTTAGTTCACTGTCTTCACTTAGGAGAGGAAAAGTATAAAAAAGTCTGATCTAACATGGAGAATTCTGAATATAGAATCAGTGATGATCTCTTCATTCGTGTTGTTATCTGACTTTCTTTTTATAGCTATTTGCCGTCCTCTGCCAGTCACTTTCCACCGAGGTGAGTCATTTTCATTTTAGAAGATCTATTGAATGGTGTCAGTTTTCTAATTTCACCAAGTGCCACAATCTTTTTATGGAACACAATTCTATAGTGTTACAGTGTTGCCTCTTGGTTTCTTTGTACTGGTCTTGGGGCTAACAGCTGTGAATTTAGAGAAACACAATTTCTAGAAAATATGAAGCCTTAGTTATGAAAAGTTGTTAAAAGTAGATGGTGGTGATAGTGGGATATAATAAAGATCTGAGAGAGTAAGATTGCCTACAAGTGCATGTACTTGTTACAGCATTCCAAGCAAGAATCCTGAGATTCATTTTTATTAGATTGCCTTAGCTCATGTGCAGCCCCCAAAAGAATAAATTACTGTGGCCAGTGAAATGAAATGTACTGCCTGGCTTAAGCCACACAAGACCATTCCTGGAGCTGGGAGTGAGGTCTGCTTTCCCAGATGAATATAAGATTCATAGGCAGAAAGGTGATGGATATCTGAGGAAGAATTGGATATTGTTAGGAAGGAGGAAAGATGAAATTGATACTGGATAGTCAGTGAACAGATGTTCACTATAGTACACAAATTTACTTTATTGATAGCTTGAATGATTTCTAAAAAGTATCTGATAATTTCATATAAAAAATACTTCCTAACTATAAGTCAGATAGTTATAATTTCTATCCACTTTTGTCAACCATTGGTAAAATGGAGGAACAGATGTCAATTTTGCCTTCAGAGGACATTGCTTTTGCACGTGAAAAGAAAGAAGTCTTCAGTCAGTTTTTTTTATTTGATGATATACTTAAATTGTTGAAAGTTTTTCTGTTCTTTTGAGTAAGCATTCAAAAATTAGGATAAGAATGGACACCAGCATTTGCAGCCATTAGAGGTAAAACATTTGTTATCCTTGTTTCTTTTTAAAATGGATAATACCGCTAGAAAACTTTTTTCTTGACTTGCTATTTAGCAATACTTCTCATAAACTAGTACAACTAAAAGAAGTTAGATTGCTTAAAAGTCAGAACCTTGAGGCTCGCCAACAAAAAAAAATATTTAAATATGAAAGTAATTTAATTAGAAAACATTTATCTGAAAAATATACAGGTTAAAATTTGAGTAATTCAAAATAAACCCATCATATAGTATATATTCTTCTATTCTTAGACTAAGATAATTATTTCAAATTCCTGTCCTTTTCCTTCAATAAGTTTAACAAAAATATTTTCATAATTTTATATTGTCCGGGGTTCCACATTTTTTCACTCACGTAGTTTGTGATAGTATGATAGTATAATCACTGATGAGAAGGTGCTGCCACCAAAAAAGGAAAATCCTGTGGTAGATTTAGCTGCCTCCATACACCAAAAGATAAAAGGAAGGAGTCTAACACCTGATCCACCATAGATTAGAACTTCCATATCATGTAGCGATGCTGAGAACCAAAGCAGTAGTTTTTCTGTTTGAGATGCCTAGTACCACTTTCTTCTCTGAGGAGGAGAGAGACCTCTTAGAAAGTAGGGTGGAATTGAAACCTCATATAGTCTGTTGTAAACAGCTGTCCTTATATTATGAGCCCTGAGTATGTGGGTTAAACGGATTAGTACAAAATGTTAGTCAATAATGAGAATGTGAACCGAGGCCATTTCTAGAACTGGTGAGTGTAATGGTTCATTCTGCTAGTCCAGTTTGTCCAAAGCCTTAGAGTAGACTTTCCTAAACTTGAGTGACTCGTCTGTCACATTTACAATTTTACTATGTCTGAGTGCTACCTGTGCAAATTTATTTAATAATTTTCTTAGAATAAAATCTTAAGTAAATTTATTTTAAAAAGAAACTTTTATAACTAGTGAAAAAATGGAAACTTTTCACTTTAGTCTGCATTTAAGTAAATGTATCTATTCAAATGTATACCATCTAAAATGATCATGCATACCACCAGTGGTATGCAGACTGTGGTGTGCTGGTAAACCTGGGTCTTGGGGAAAAAAAAGCCCTGATTTGCAGAATTTGTTAATTTCTGTGGTTTAAATACTCCCACTTTATCTGTTTTCAAGCTGCCAATGGATTAACAATCATGCTTGCAAAATTCCTGACTATTTAACAATTGGCTCCTGCAAGCCAGTACAAGCTAGGTCCAGCACACCATTGTGTGTATACTACATTTTGGAAAGCACAATGTTAGAGATAATCTGTTCAAAATTCAAATCAGTTGTATTTATTTCAGCCTTTGACATGGTTCGTGACCCAGTGGCAGCTCTAGAGACCCTCTTAACTTTGGGATTTGAACGAGTATTGACCAGTGGATGTGACAGTTCGGCACTAGAAGGGCTACCCCTAATAAAGCGACTCATAGATCAGGTACACACAATTTCTTTTCTTTCTTCCTAAGACTATTGTGGTTACTCCTGATATTCTGTTGTTCAGCTAGGTTGTGAAGCTAAATATTACTGACTTGGTGGTTACTCTGTAGGAAAAAGCAAGCAGGCAGTAATATATTTATATAATTCTTTTTTTTTTTTTTTCTGCTTTATTTCCCAAACCCCCCCGGTACATAGTTGTATATCTTAGTTGCAGGTCCTTCTAGTTGTGGGGTGTGGGATGCCGTCTCAATGTGGCCTGACGAGCGGTGCCATGTCCGCGCCCAGGATCCGAACCCTGGACCACTGCAGCGGAGCACGCGAACTCAACCACTCGGCCATGGAGCCGGCCCCCCTATATAATTCTTATTTCTTTTACATGGGCGTTTTTAGTTACCAAGGCTCTTAAGATCAACTTGTAGACAGTGCCTAAGGATCTGATCTAATTTGGATAACCACAGCAAATTTTACCTTTTCTCTGCCATCAGCATTGCATAGTTTTAAGGCACATCTTCTCATTGTCACCCTATGAATATTCAGGAGATCCCATATAAAATTTGACAAAATTATCAGTTGGAGGTGAATTCTAAAACTAATACTATATTCTTCTCTCATCTCTCCCCATCTATCAAGATAGGAGGAAATATATTTTTCTATTTTATGATTTCCCCTGGTGAGTTAGCATCATTTGTAGAGCTTTCAGAAGATGGCTTTGTAATTGTACTATGTCCGTGTTTTTCTGACACCAGTCTAGAGACATTCTAAGTAAGGAAGTGTGGACTTTTTGATGAGAGAGTTCTGGATTTGAAACTCAGATTTGACACTTATTTACTGTGTAATATGGAGTAGATTACCAACCTTTAAGCCTCTGTTTCCTCACATGTGGAACTGAGATAAGTTTAATACTTCCTTTATGGGGTTGCTCTGAATAAAATATGCAAGAACCTCAGCATAGCAATGACATATAATAGATCTTTATATATATTAGTTTCTTTTATTATTATTACTGCTATAATTAATAATATTATTTAGTATTCCCGTGTAGACATCTGCTTATATTCACTTTTCTATAGTCATGAAGATAATTCTCAGGAATTTCACATAAGGATCTGATGTGACTTTGTTAGTCTGGAACTTCTGATTTTGCGAATATTTCTTAAGTATATATTAGATGCAGGGCGTGTGTACTATGGTGGTGACCAAGGGGCACACGTGTGTGTGTGTGTGTGTGTGCATCTGTGTATGTATATGTAGTCACTGCCCTTACAATCTAGTGCATAACAGACACTTTTAATAGAGTAGGCAATTTTAATAGAGTGCTATTTTAAAAAGGTACTATGGACACACATTGGAAAGGAATTGACCCCAGATTTCAGGGTTGAGGGTTGACAGTAGTAGGTTTCCCAGAAGAAAAGACATCCACATTGCAATGTCTTACTCATTTGAGGGATGATTAAGAGTCATCCATTGTAAAAGTTGGAGGAGGAGAGGGAGAGTAGGAGAATGCTCCATGTAGAAGAACTAGTATATGCAAAGCCCTGGAAACAAAGCGAGCATAACTTAAGATAGTGAAAAATGACTATAGTGTTGATTATGAAGAGAGGAATACTGTCCAGAGACTTGAAAACTATTTGAGAGTTTGTATTTTATCGTTGGTACACTGGGGAAGCTTGAAGCGTTTTAAAATAGAAGAGTTGATGAATCAGGTTTCTATTTCAAAATTATTACTCACTATGGAGTAGAGAATAATTGCCTTTTCAAAATATCTGTATGTGTGTAACAGAGATTTGTAGTTTAATCATTGGTTGGAAGGAAGAGCTGGGTTAAATATCCTCATACACTAATTTACTTTTTTAAAAAATAAAAATTGAAAGTGTTTAAGATGTACAACATAGTGTTTTGATATTCATCTACATAATGAAATGGTTACAGTCAAGCTCACATCCATCTGCTCATGTAGTTACCTTGTGTATGTGTATGTGTGTTTGTGGTGGGAGCACTTGAAAACTACTCTCTTCGCAAATTTTCAGTATTCAATACAATATTAACTATAGTCATCGTTAGATCTCTAGACTTTCTCATCCTACATAACTGCAACTTTATACCCTTTGACTGACATTTCCCCATTTCCTCCACCTCCTTGCTCCTGGTAACCACCGTTCTACTCTCTGCTTCTATGTATTCGATTTTTTTAGATTCCACATGTAAGTGAGGTCACGCTAACTTTACTTCTTGAAGAAGTTACTTAGCAGTATAATACACTGGGTAAAGTGTAGGCTTTGGGATTAGAAAGGTCTGTGTTTAAATCCTGGCTTTGCCATTTATTAACAATGACCTTGTGCAGTTTACCTAACCATCCTAAATTTTAGTTTCTTCGCCTATAAAGTTAGCATAATAACAGCCCCTACCTCCTAGAGTAGTTGTGGATTACTTCAGATGAGAGCACAAAGTCTGAAACTTAGCAAGTGCTTTATATTGTTAAATCACTTGGATAGCCTTAGGTAACATATAGTTGTTGGAAGGCCAAAAAAAAAAAAAAGTGATAGAATTAATCTGTTTAAAAATATCATTTGTCCATGTTTTAGAAAGCTTTCACTTGGAAGAAACAGTTAAACGTGACTTTTTTCCTCCTAAAGTCATTTCAGCTTTCTAGACAGTAAATATTTTGTTTTATAGTTACTTTGCTTTAGTACGTTTGAGAATACTGAACAACTTTGTCCACTTATTTTCTGTAACAATTATTGAATTTTATGAAATAGTCCCCTCCCCCTTTTACTATTTCATTACCTTGCTTAATTTTTTTTCATTGTACTTATTACTACCTGAAATTTTGTTATATAAATGTTTCTGTTGTCTGTCTTCCTTGAACATGTAAGCTCCATGAGAGTATGAACTTTTTCCTGTTTACCATGTCAGGGAGAAAAAATTTTTTCTTCACTCTCTTACGTTCAGTATTTGAGGGCCTGTGAATTAAACTGACAAAAGATAGATTAACAAGAGAAAAACCATTTTAACCACGTATGTATGTATGGGAGCTCACAAAGAAATGTGACTCAAAGATGTGCTTAGAATTTGGGGCTTGTATACTATCTTACTAGGTGAAGAGGAGGAGGGAAAAGGGCACTTAGGAACTTAAGGAAGGAGAAAGGGCATTTATGGGAAAACAAATGACTTTTTGGAAAGATAAATGGACCCTTAGGAGACTAACTGGGAGATATGATAGTTTTATGACAATGTCCGTTTGGGTGTGGTGCTCATGATGAGTTGCTCCCTGGAAGGGAATTTGTGAAAACTGAGTTCTTGTTTAGTTCTTTTGGGAGGCTGTGCTTTTAGGCAGAGGAGGAATTTCAGGAACTCAGATAGCTTCAGCTCAAAATAAGTTTTATGCCACAGTGGCATATTCTAGACCCCTTCAACTACAATATTCCCCATACCTAGAATAGTGCCTAGTACCTGATAGGCACTTAATAAATATTTGTTGGATGGATGGAGGGGTGAGTAAAGTGACATTTGATAAATGCTTTCATGATAGATCAATTTGATCAGGGTTAAAAAAAATTGTTCAGTAGGGAGTTCTCAAAAAAATCTACAAAATGTCAGTCTATGGATTTTCACAGAATATATACGTATAATCTTTTTGCTAACTTTGGAGCTACCTTTCCAAAATGGCATATAACTCAACTGTCATGAAAAATTATGACTTTTCATTGACAAATGTGCCATAAGTTAGGGTTTGAGGTCACTTTTGATCATTTTACTGAATCTCTGTTACTTAAAAACTAATCTGGGGACTCTAATTTTACTCAGGATAGAGCACAATTTGTTGTTGATTCATACTTTATGGAAGAGGGTTTTTTTTCACATCTTGATATTAATATGTGACTTAACCAATTTTGTAGCAATCTATCATTTTTTCTATGATCACTCCATTCAGGTCATTTATTGGTCTCTTTTTCCCTTTTTGTACCAGCATATTGTTTCTTAGCCCTACTACCTTTTTTTTTTTTGAGGAAGATTAGCCCTGAGCTAACATCCACCACCAATCCTCCTCTTTTTTGCTAAGGAAGATCGGCCCTGAGCTAATGTCTGTGCCCATCTTCCTCTATTTTATATGTGGGATGCCTGCCACAGCATGGCTTGATAAGCGGTGTGTAGGTCTGCACCCGGGATCTGAAAGGGCAAACCCCGGGCTGCCAAAGTGGAGCGTGTGAACTTAACCACTGTGCCACCAGGCCAGCCCCACCCCAACTTCCTTTTAACTAAAAAAATTTGGCATCTTTTTCATTGGTGGCTTCTACAATATATCTAGCTCTTTGGAACTTCTTTAAGGTTTGTTGCTATTGCGTAACGACCTTAAAAAATCATATTGAATCCTCATCTTAACTTTACACTGATAGTTCCTTAGAGCTCATTAAAATATCTGTAACTTGTCTTAAAAGTAAGGAGAATGATTGTTTCTCCCTCTACTCATGACCATCTGTATTCTCTTCCCTACTGTTACTACCTTCACTTTTCACTGCTTTCACGCTATTGCTGCTTTTGAGACTTTCTGCTTGTCTTCCCTTCTTTGCATTTATTTCTGGTGTTAGCCAATTTTTGCTTTATTCCCTTCTTTTGATTTCTGTTCTCTTCTGTCCCCTGTATCCTCCTCTTTCTTTACTCTTCTGCCCTTCTTCTCACACTGGGCATGATACCTCTGTTTCTCTTCTCCTCATTTTCTCCTCCCCACTCTAAGCCAATCTTTCAGTTTTCTCATTTGTCCTAACTGGATATGATGCAGAATTAAGTATTTTTTCAACATTAATTATATTTATTAAATACATTAATTGAATGTTTCATGTTTTTATGTAAAAAGAAGCTAAGTTATGTGTGGTTCTTCGTTGAATCTTTCCTGTTGTTTAGTAGTGCTCAACAGAAATAAGATTGTCTACCCAGCCCTGAGTTGAGTAGAATGTAGGCTGAGTGCATATATGGGCTGAAAAGTTGAGACAAATGACTTGGAATTATGTTGGGTGGCAAAATCGGCTGATCCAGTATTGAAAAGTCATCTCAGGGAGGCCAGCCCATGGCCTAGTGGTTAAGTTTGGTGTACTCTGCTTTGGTGGCCCGGGTTTGGTTCCTGTGCCCGGACCTACACAACTTCTTGTGGCCATGCTGAGGCGGCAACCCACACATGAAATAGAGGAAGACTGGCACAGACATTAGCTCAGGGAGGATCTTCCTCAAGCAAAAAGAGGAAAATTGGCAACAGATGTTAGCTCAGGGCGAATCTTCCTCAGCAAAAAACAAAAAACAAAAACTCGTCTCAGGGAATCCACATGTGAAAAGATTCAATTACTTATAATTTAAATGATTTTATCCTGCAGATTAGTGAGCTTAACATAATATGTAATTTTTATTCTGTCACTGTTACCTACCTGCTACTGGTAGTTCCACTAAGTATGTATTTGTAATGGAGTGGTTTCCTTTTGACTTTCAGTGATACTGAGTATATCACCAAAATTTATTTAGGAAATGTGATGAAAATTGGAATAAAAGTAAGGAAATTTTAATACCTATCTTCCAGAATTATCAGAAATTAAATTAATTCATATAATTTGGTTTTATTACTTTTTTTTCTTTCTGCTTTTTCTCCCCAGATCCCCCTGGTACATAGTTGTATACTTTAGTTGTGGGTCCTTCTAGTTGTAACATGTGGGATACCACCATAGCATGGCCTGACAAGCGGTGCCATGTCCGTGCCCAGGATCTGAACCAGCGAAACCCTGGGCCGCTGCAGTGGAGTGCACGAACTTAACCACTTTGCCACAGGGCTGGCCCCTGGTTTTATTACTTAAAACCCACTTAAATGAACCTATGGTTTTGTTTAATTGGTATAATAAGCTAGGGAATTTTTTGAGGGTACAGAATTTGAGTATCTAGTAATTTACAATTATGCTATGCTCTTTGTTTTCTGCTGAAATCTTGTTTAAATTCAACTACTTTCCCATTGCATATGAAGAACTCAGAATTAGTGCTATTTTTCAGTAATGGCTTTTCTTAAGGTGGTGTGATTTTTCAGTATTTATATTATATTCTTCTATTCTTTGTGTTCATAATAGTACAAGTCTTTAAAACAATACAGTAAAATAACCTTCTCGATAGAAAGAGTTTTTATGCTGAACATCTTTTTTACCCAAGATCTCAAAGAAATAGAAAAGATCTATTGAAAATTAGACACTAGTAGTAATTTTAGAAATTTAATATACTTATGTTTCTATTCTCAGTGCCTTATTATCCCATTTAAGAGAAAGATATTAAAATTTACTTATTTATTTTTTTCTTTTTTCAGGCAAAAGGCAGGATTGTGGTAATGCCAGGTATTTATTTATCTATCCATTCACTAGTGTGACACTGAACTGTAGTGGAGGAAGAGCAAAGAAGGCAGGACAATATGGGAGAAAGTATTAGTAAAGGATGTTCAAAAAAAAGAATATATAATTTGATTAAAATGTTTAAGTTTGAGAGATCTGTGCTGGAATTTAAAATTTTAGATAAGGGGGAGAACATTCTAGCAGAGATTAGCTCAGAGAGGAGCAAATAAGGAAGTAGATTGGGACTGGGGTTTCTCCATGTTTGCTCTCCCATAGTACAGAATTTTGTAAATGTGGATGTTCATCTCTGGTGAGGCACACCACATTCAATGCTACTGCTACACTGTGTTAGGGCCAAATGTCCTAGTTGCTAATAAAGTGTAAGCAAATGTTTAGGTAATATCCCTGGATAATATAATACTCGCTCAGTTCCTGAAAATCTGATCACCAAATTCTTCCTTGTAGCCAGAACAGTTGGCTCATATGCTCCTGATGATAACCATAAGAACAATTAAGTACATAATTGCTCATTAGAAATGAACACTTTTTAAAGAATTAGATAAGGCGACCGAGAATCAGAATGACACAAATATAAAGACAATCTTTGTTTTTTTATTATTAAATTTCTCAAACATATAAAAAAGTAGAAAATAGCATAATGAATACTCACTCATTCTTTAGATTTAAAATTTTGCCACATTTGTCTCATCTTTTTTTATCCAGAAGTATTTTAAAATTAAATTAAAGCCATCAGGACATAAAGCCATCATATCTTTATGTTATCCCTAAAAAAATAAGGGCATTCTACTGTAACCACAATACTATTATCACATCTATCAAAATAAACATTAATTCTCTAATACCATTTTTTTTAAAGATTGGCACCTGAGCTAACAACTATTGCTGATCTTCTTTTTTTCCCCCTCCTTTTTTTCTCCAAATTCCCCCAGTACATAGTTGTATATTTTAGTTGTAGGTTCTTCTAGTTGTTCTATGTGGGATGCCACCTCAGCATGGCCTGATGAGTGGTGCCATGTCTGCACCCAGGATCCGAACTGGCGAAATCCTGGGCCACTGAAGCAGAGCCCTTGAACTTAACCACTCGGCCCCGGGGCCAGCCCCTCTAATACCATTTAATACTCAGTCAGTATTCTCTCTGGTTGTCCCCAGAATGTTTTTTATAGCTGATATGTTCAAATCAGTATCCAGTCAAGGAGCAAGTATTACACTTGATTGTTATCTTAGTATCTTTTAATATAGAAGGTTTCCTTTTCTTTTTCTACTTTTTAAAAAAATGACATTTAAAATAAGTTTGGGCCACTTATCCTATAAAGTGTCCTACTTTCTGGTTCATCAGATTGTTTCCTTTTGGTATTCTTTAGCTTGCATTTCCTAGCCTCTGTATTTCCTATAAACTAGTAGTTAGAACATAAGGCTTATTTAGATTCTGGTTAAATATTTTTAGTAAGAACTTCCTGAGTGATTCTGTATACTTCATATTACATCACATCAGAAGGCATACAATGTCTGATTGTCTCACCACCAGTGATGCCAAAACTGACCAGGGGTCAAAATGATAATAGCCAGATAAAGGCCAACTTTTAAAAAGAGGCTAGGTAAATCAAAATATAATGATGTACTCATGAAATTTAGGTATTGGTATAAGCCAGTGTTACCACAATTAAAAAAAAGAAGCCAGATAGAGGGATAGTGTCAGAAATTTAGGAAAGCTTTGACCTGTAGCGAATCCCTGAAACATAAACAGTTAGAAAGTGTATGTTATCTGTCAAATTGAGACCCTTTATAGATTACTCAGAGAGTGTTAAAGAGACTTAACTGAGTGATGCATTTTCATTTAAGACTAAACATATTTAATCTTGACGACTTAGTCGTTAATATTAAGGTTGCCTTTGCTTAATATGTAGTTTTTAAGTTATCTGCTCTGTGCAAGGCATTACTTGGGATGCAGTTACACAAGAAACTACTTCCTCAAAAAGCTTACAGTCTTAGGTAAGAAGATGGTATATACAAAAATATTTGTGATTATTTAACAAACCTTACCAAGCAAATGCTAATTATATGCCAGGTTCTATGGTAGATGTGAAAACACAGAAATGAATATGAAGTGGTCTTTCTACTTGAGGAGATCACAGAATAGATCTATAGACAAATTATTAAAATTTCATGTAAATAAGTACCAGCAGGTAGGTAAGTCAGCCTGAAGGCCTAATGAGTATTCATCGTTGGGAAATATAAAGATAAATAGAATATAGTAGTTTCCTTTTGAGGACTTTCATAATGAAGCTTATAACATATTTAGGCTCCAGTTTCCTCATCTGTAAAAAAGAGGATATTGAACTAGTTGTTTATTCAGGTCCCTACCGTAAAAGATATGTAGTCTGTGTTTGGAAGATGTATTACTTATGTCCTAAAGTTGCTGATAACTAAGCAACAGGAGTTTTAGTGGCCAGATATTTTGTTATTTGTTAGAAGGAAATAAGATATTTGTATTTTAATCCTTACAACAAGCTCATGAGGTAGGCATGTCCTTCTTTGGTCAAAAAAGTTGAGGCTCAGTGAATTTAAGTAATTTATCTAAGATCACATAGCTGTGAAGAGCTACAGTAGTGAAACCAGGATTCCAATCTAAATCTGACTTCTCAGTCTGTGTTCTTTCTACTTCTTAGGGCTCAGTGATGTTAGTGTACCACTAAGAAAAAAACACCAAGTTAATGAGTCTAAAAGAGTGTGTAAAGTCAAGTTACTTCAGCAACTTGAATAGCTTGAGATAGAAAGCACATATTTTATCAGTCAATACAAACTGTTTATTGAATATGTCTTGTATACTAGCAGAGAATGATATAAAGATGAATAAACTAATTTTATATTTATAATCTGATATCAGTTCAGAATATGATTCTTTATATACAAATATTTAAGTGATTTTTCCTCAAATGAGTCATCGTGAAGTTCTTGATTGTGCAGTTTTAATAAAGTAGAATTGGATTCTTCTGTGAAATGAAAAAAATTGATATTATTATGAATAAACTGTATAACACCTTGCGTTTTCCCCATTTCCCATGAAGTCCAGGTACTCATTGAATCCTGGGCCAGAGAGAGAACCTAGCAGGTTCTGTCCTTCAGATACATCTCTGAGGCTGTGCTTTTGGAGCTTCTACCTCAAGCCTTTCCTTATCTTTCATTTTAATTTGATTTTGTTTTAATTGAGGGGGAGCAGGGCTAGAGCACTCAATGATTTTCCTTGCCCTAGAGCAATCTTTTCAGATTTAAAGTCAGTAATATATAGCATTGTTATATAAAACAATGGACATAAAAGATTCCATAATATAGGTTCTATGACCTTATCATTTGTTCTTCAGAGTCTGTAGTCTTGTCTTTCATCATTCTTTTCTAGTCTCATTATAGCTTAGTAGGGAGAGAGTAATTCTTGAATCAATGAGAAATTTCAGTGTGGGGATTCTAGGTAAAGTAAACAGTCGTCATTATTCATTAAATTTTATTCAAAAACCTATTCAACTTAATGTATTACTTATTCTTTCCAACAGGGGGTGGCATAACAGAAAGAAATCTACAAAGGATCCTTGAGGGTTCAGGGGCTACAGAATTCCACTGTTCTGCTCGGTCTGCTAGAGATTCAGGAATGAAGTTTCGGTAAAAATGTATTCTTTGACTCATACAGAAAAGGAGGAGATTAATCTTTACTTCCCCAACAGGAAAACCGTTGTCGATTGCTTGATTAATGAATGGAATGTTGTGATTAATATGTAAATATTTTAGTCATTTTTGCAGTTTTTCAACTGCAAAATGGTTCTTATTCTGCCTTAAGCAGGATCTTCTGAACATAGGTGAATCTTTATATCCTTAGGGCGTTGCTGAACTTAGACCAATTAGTAATAAACTCTAATTCAGCAGCTAATGTTCAAATGAGTCAGATTTGTATATGTGCCCATTCACCTGTGATTTCCTTTAGCAAAGTTAATAACTATGGTGTAAGGAGGGAAGAGTCATAGTCATTTTTATTTCTCTACCTTTGATCCTTATGGTCAGTCTTCCCTCACCTTTGCACTGTATTTTCAGTTATTTTGAAATTATAGCACCATTAAGGAATTGAAACTATTATGTGTTTTTCATTATACTTGAAAGGACTCCTATAATTTAGTAGTTATTTCTATTTATAAGTTGGAAAAAATGAAGTGTAAAAGAAACAAGACCCTTAGAACCTACATTTCCAGGTATAAAATCAAGTATACTATCTGGAAGATTCAGCTACTAGATGTTTCAAGTGATTAATTAATAAAAATTATGAAATATGACAGTCCATGGTCCTTGATCTACCCTTGTTCTTGAGCCATGAAATAGCCTGTAAAATGAAGTGCCAGTAGGAGGGCTCATTTAACAACTTATATAATTATCTGTTCCTTTATTATTTCTATTGCAGAAATTCCTGTGTTGCCATGGGAGCCTCTCTTTCTAGCTCAGAATATTCTCTAAAGGTAACAGATGTGACCCAAGTAAGGACTTTGAATGCTATTGCAAAGAATATTCTGGTTTAGCCAGACTTCTGAGAGACATGGATATCACAGGTAAAGGTAGAAGAGTAGTCTACAATTCTCTATGACACAGCTTTAACTTACTTCTCTGGCAAGGACAGTCACAATCTTTGTCTTAAGTCTCACATGGCCATGGAGAATGTTTCCAAGAAGAAAAAGAACTTGAAACAGAGCTACAGTCACTTCCTTTGCTTAATCTTGCCAGCCATCTCTCCATCATCATGGTTAAATCTGGTCTATGTGTCTTCCACAGATAGAGGCTTACTCTGTTTTCAGTGGAATTAGTTGATGAACTGGGAAAATTCAACTGCAAGGTATGAATTCACATGTGACTTCATGGTCAATTCAATAGCAGTATTTTGCTTTTTCATTTGTAAAATAAAAATTTCCATTCTATTATGGTAGAGTCTCTTATTCTTACCCTGAATGCAGTCTATAGCCAAGTAGGAATAGGAAGAATTTTTTTTTTCTTTCATTTTTCTTTTTTTTGTTGTGTACTCTTTTTCTTTTATTGCCCTGGGCAAGATACTAAGGATATAGAGTAAAATAGTACAGCATAAAAATTCCTAGACTTGGGAAGCAGATTATAATTGTTCCCAGACTTATAAAGGCAGAAGTGATCTCTTGTGTTCACCAGGTTACTTCTACCTCTGTTCCCAGATAGAGAAATGGCTTAACCATAAGGTTCATCTGAAAATTTACAAAGACCTATAGTAAGAATTGGGAAGCTTAGGGAAGTTATTTCTTTCAACTGAGGCCACAGATAGGGAGAATGGATTTTAGTGATGAAAGATGCTTTTCCTATGAGCAGGTCCCAGACGGTGAAGTTCTAGGTTTCTCTGTCACTTTCATATTTATGATCTCATTTTATACAGACACCACTCTAGTAATAGAACTTTTGTTTCTGTATTAGGAGAGTAACAGAAGCACAATATAAAGAGCTTGCCTTTGGTCAGGAAGCTAGTTAATGGAGCCTGAATGAATAGCATGCACAGATTTGGGTACTAATGAACATACATACCAAGAAAGAGCCTTGCCTTTATTTTAATGCATCCCTTCCCTCAACTTTAAATCTTAGCTTTTTTCTTCACTTTTTAAAGTACAATTTCAGTGTAGAATATTTGCCAGGTAATTTATGAGAAATGAGAGTCAAACTATTTAAAAACCAACAATAACCCCAGTGGTTTATTTTCTTGCTTGTTCAGACTATTACTAACAATGATAACTTTCAAAAAGATGGTTTTCATTATTGGCTTTGGAATATAGATACAGATATGTAAGAATCACATACACATGTACACATAATCTTAATATTTTGGCCTAACTCTCTCCTGTGCTTGGGCTTCATTGTATGATCCTCCAAAGACAAGAGGAGAATATTTTATCATCTCTATTTTATTTAAGCAAATTAAATAGGGATCTGAGAGTTGGTATGAATTGCTCAAAGTTTAACAACAAATTACTGTTGTTTATGAGACTTGAATGCTAGGCTACCAACCTCCAAGTCTTCTGCTTTAAGATGCTTCTGGCATGTGGATGTCATAGAGAGAGCAAAATTCCTGGGCAAATCAGACACAACTGGAATCGTATGCTGGCTTTCAGTTTGAGTTAAATTAATTTCTTGAACTTAATTCCCTTGTTTATAAATCAGGAATAATAACTGAACCATGGTTTCTGGTTAAATGATATATTAAACCACCAAGTACATAATAAGCACCCATTAAATGTTAGTTCTTTTCTTCTAGGTTAGCTTTCTAGTCTCAGTCTTTGATAGTTTAAAAGTCCAACCCAGGAAGCCAGGCATTGATTATTGAAGCCAACACTTTGTGCTCTCCACTATGTGAATATAAAAGAAGCATAAGGTAATCCCTACTTTGATTTTATTTTTCTATGCTTTAGTCCTGTTTTAAAATATTTACTCATTATTTCATGTGTATAAGTTTCTTCTAACAATATTAGAAGTATTTTTAGGTTAGGGGACCACATCTTGATATTTTTATATTTCTCCTTACACCCATCAAACTGTATACTCATGGTATCGATTACTTTGCTAGTGGAAAAAGAACACTGAATTGGACCAGTAGGTCCTGACTCTATCACTGACTTTGGTAGCTATACTGGGTATTTTGTTTGCCCTTTCAGATCGACTCTTCATTTTGTTCTATAAACCGAATCCAGCAACATAAGAGAGATTATACACTATGATCAAGTAGAATTTATGCGAGGAATGCAAGGCTGGTTTAGCGTCCAAAAATAAATCAATGTAATATACCATATTGATAAAATAAAGCATAAAAATCACATGATCCTCTCAACACAGAAAAAGCATTTGACAAAAATCTAACACCCTTTATAAAAACACTCAGCAAACTTGGAATAGAAAGGAGCTTCCTCAACCTGATAAAGAGCGTCTACAAAAAAACAAAACACACAGCTTACATCATACTTGATACTTTCTCACTAAGGTCAGGAACAAGACAAGATTTACACTCTTACCAATTCTAGTCAACTTTGTACTGGAGGTTCTAGCCAGGGCAATTAGGTAAGAAAAAGAAATAAAAATCATCCAGATTGGAAAAGAAGAAATAAAATGCTATTTGCAGTTGACATGACTTGTATATAGAAAATTCTAAGGAATCCACAAAAAAAACTAAAGTTCAGCAAAGTTGTAGGATATAAAATCAATATGCAAAATCAACTGCAGTGCTATCACTAGCAAGTAACAATCCTTAAATGAGTTAAAAAAACAATTCCATTGATAATAGCAACAAAAAGGTTAAAATGCTAAGGAATGAATTTAACCAAAGAAGTGCAAGACTGTACACTGAAAACTGCAAAGCATTGTTGAAAGAAATTTAAAAAGACCTAACAATAATACATAAATAAAAAGACATCTCAGGTTCATAGATTGGAAGACTTAATATTATTAAGATAGCAGTATTCTCCAATTGGTCTACAGATTCAATGCAATCACTATCAAAATCCCAATTGTCTTTTTTTGCAGAAATTGACAAGATGACCCTAAAGTTCATCTGGAAATGCAAGGGACCCAGAATAGCCAAACAATCTTGAAAAAGAACAAAGTTGGAGGACTCACATTTCTCGATTTCAAAACATAGTACAAAACTACAGTAATCAAGACAATGTGGTATTGGCATAAAGGTGAATATATAGCAATATATTCAGTTGCATATAAATGTATGTGCAATTCTCAGTGCAATAGAATTGAGAGTCCAGAAATAAACCCTTATATTATAGTCAGTTGATTCTTGAAAGGGTGCCAAGATAATTAACTGGGAAAAGAATAGTTTTTAAACAAATGGTGCTGGTCAACTGGATATCCACATGCAAAAGAATGAAGTTGGACCTTGCCTCACATCATGTACAAAAATTAACTCAAATGGATCATAGACCTAAATAAAAGCTAAAAGATAAAACTCTTAGAAGAAAATAGGAGTAAATCTTTGTAACCGTGGGTTAGGCAAAGCCTTAGATATGACACCAAAAGCACAAGTGACAAAAGAAAAAATGGGTAAATTGGACTTCGTCAAAATTAAAAACCTATGCTCAAAGGATAAGATCAAGACAGTGAAAAGACAACCCACAGAATAGGAGGAAATATTTGCAAATCATATGTCTGATTCATGGGGTCATATCCAGCCTGTATAAAGAATACTTAGAGCTCAGCAATAAAAAGACAACCTAGTTTTAAAATGGGCAAAGGATTTGAGTAGACGTTTCTCTGAAGAAGGTAGACAGTTGGCCAAGAAGCATATGAAAAAGTGCTCAACATCATTAATCATTAGGGAAATGCAAATCAAAACCCCACTGAGATAACCATTTCATACCCACTAAGATGACTATAACCCAAAAGGCTGACACTACCAAGTGTTGACAAGGATGTGGCACAACCAAAACTTTCATATACTGCTAGTGGGAATGTAAAACAGTGGAGCTGCTTTGTAAAATAGCCTGGGAATTTCTCAAATGTTAAACATAGAGTTGCTATGTGACCCAGCAGTTCCACTCCTAGGTATATACCCTAAAGAACGGAAAACATATGTCCACACAAAAACTTGTACACCGATGTTTGTAGCAACATTATTCATCTTTTAGAATTAGAGAATAACCATTTTGCAGCCCCTAATGAAATAAATCAGTCAAAGATCATTAATGCTAAAACCATTTGGTGAAAAGTAGATTGGAAGCTAAGTATCCACATGGTGCCAAAGTATCATCTTGTAGATTACTTGCTAGTCATTAATGTAGAAATTTGATGTTAAAATGCAGCTATCTGGTTGTTACCACCTCAACCCAGTAATCAAATTTAATATTACTAGCAGTGGAAGCGTATACTGCTGAAGGAAAGGATTTGAGGGGGAAGAGATCAGCCAGAGGCTGTAACCTGTGTTAGGAAACCAGTTTAGAGGTTGTTAATGTGTCTCAAGGAAGAGCTAAGAGTTGAACCACCTGGAAAGCTGCTGTAACAAAGTGTGATGGTTAGCTATGGATCAAGCAAGTGTGAACTGCAAACACCACCAGCTCATAGGGTGACCAACCATCCCAGTTTGCCTGAAACTTCCAATTTTAGCATTGAAAGTCCCGTATCCTAGGAAATTCCTCAGTTGCCTGGTAAACTGGGAAAGTTTGGTCATCCTACCAGCTCAGTAAAATTGGCTTTGCCTCTTTTCCCCTGATCCTCACCTCCTTGCCCTAATCCTGGAATTGGGGGTGGGGGGAGGGGAATATATTGAGTAACAAGGAAAAATGATAAAAGGGATGACATTTCCCTCACCAGTGGTAGCTGGTCCCTGAGCTAAGAAAGGAGGGGGGCTTTAAATGGATGTGAGTTTCTTTTGTGGATGATAAAAATGTTCGAAAATTGATTATAGTGATGGTTGCACAACGCTGAATATGCTAAAAATCATTGGATTGTACACTTTAAGTGGGTGAATTGTATGTGATTTATATCTCAATAAAGCTGTTTTTTAAAAAAATGCATGTGAGAGAGTTTTAAATTAGATTAGATCAGCCTGGACCTTTTAATACCTAAAAGAGACCCAAAGGCTATAGGATCTGCTTGAGATGTGCTCAAGGGCAAGGAATGGGGTTTGATGTAGCATGGTTGAACACAATGGTGGAAGCAAAATATTTTTTCTTATTTGTTTTCTATTTGGTTTACATCTCTCAGTGAGTTGGCTATACTAGTTTCTTTTTTTTTATTGAGTTAATGATAGGTTGCAATCTTGTGAAATTTCAGTTGTACATTAATGTTTGTCATTCGTGTTGTAGGTGCACCACTTCACCCTTTGTGCCCACCCCCCACCCCACCTTTCCCCTGGTATCCACTAAATTGTTCTTAGTCCACATTTTTAAATTCCTCATATGAGTGGAGTCATACACAGATTATCCTTCTCTAGCTGGCTTATTTCACTTAACATAATTCCCTCAAGGTCCATCCATGTTATTGCAAATGGAATGATTTTGTTCTGTTTTGCAGCTGAGTAGTATTCCATTGTATATATGTACCACATCTTCTTTATCCATTCGTCTGTTGCTGGGCACTTAGGTTGCTTCCACGTCTTGGCTATTGTAAACAGTGCTGCAATAAACATTGGGGTGCATAGGACTTTTGGGATTGCTGACGTCAAGCTCTTTGGATAAATACCCAGTAGTGGGATGGCTGGATCGTATGGTAGTTCTATTTTTAATTTTTTGAGGAATCTCCATACTGTTTTCCATAGTGGCTGCACCAGTTTGCATTCCCACCAGCAGTGTATGAAGGTTCCTTTTTCTCCACAACCTCTCCAACATTTGTTACTATTAGTTTTAGATATTTTTGTCATTCTAACGGGTGTAAGGTAATATCTTAGTGTAGTTTTGATTTGCATTTCCCTGATGATCAGCGATGATGAGCATCTTTTCATGTGCCTATTGGCCATCCGTATATCTTCTTTGGAGAAATGTCTGTTCATGTCTCCAGCCCAATTTTTGATTGGGTTGTTTGATTTTTTGTTGTTGAGTTGCGAGAGGTCTTTATATATTATGGATATTAAGCCTTTGTCAGATATATGACTTGCAAATATTTTTTCCCAGTTAGTGGGTTGTTTTTTTGTTTCAATCCTGTTTTCATTTGCCTTGAAGAAGCTCTTTAGTCTGATGAAGTCCCATTTGTTTATTCTTTCTATTATTTCCCTTCTTTGAGAAGGCATGTTGCCCAAAAAGATCCTTTTAATACTGATGTCAAAGAGTATACTGCCTACGTTTTCTTCTAGAAGCCTTATGGTTTCAGGTCTCACCTTTAGGTCTTTGATCCATTTTGAGTTTATTTTGGTGAATGGTGAAAAAGAATGGTCAATTTTCATTCTTTTAGATGTGGTATGCCATGCTATCATTTTCATTTGTTTCCAGGTATTTTTTGATTTCTTCTTTAATTTCTTCAATGATCCACTGCTTGTTCAGTAGTGTGTTGTTTAGTCTGCACATCTTTGTGCCTTTCTCAGCTTTTTTCTTGTAATTAATTTCTAGCCTTATAGCATTATGATTGGAGAAGATGCTTGTTACTATTTAAATTTTTTTTAAATTTGTAGAGGCTTGCCTTCTTTCCCAACATATGGTCTATCCTTGAGAATGTTCCATGTGCACTTGAGAAGAATATGTATTCAGCTCTTTCAGGGTGACGTGATCTATATATGTCTATTAAGTCCAATTGTTTTAGTTTTTCATTTAGCTCCACTATTTCCTTGTTGATTTTCTGTCTGGATGATCTATCAATTGATGTGAGTGGGGTGTTGAGGTCCCCTACTATTACTGTGTTGTTTTTAACATCTTCCTTTAGGTCTGTTAATAGTTGCTTTATGATTCTTGGTGCTCCTGTGTTGGGTGCATAGATATTTATAAGTGTTATTTCTTCTTGATGAAGTGTCCCTTTGATCATTATATATTGTCCCTCTGTGTCTCTCTTTACCTGTCTTATTTTGAAATCCACTTTGTCTGATATAAGAAATGCAACACCTGCCTTTTTTTCCTTGCTATTTGCTTGAAGTATTGTCCTCCACCCCTTCACCCTGAGTCTGTGTTTGTCCTTGGGGCTGAGGTGTGTTTCTTGGAGGCAAAAAATTGTTGGATCTTGTTCTTTAATCCATTTTGCCACTCTGTGTCTTTTTATTGGCGAGTTCAATCCATTTACATTGAGAGTGATTATTGATGCATGTGGACTTGATGCTGTCAATCTGTCACTCATTATCTTGTTTTCCTGTGTTTCTTTTCCTGTGTGCTTTAGCCTACCCATTTAATACTGCAATTTCTTATGCTGGGTTTCTTAGATTTTTCCTTATTTATGATTTGTGACTCTGTTCTGTATTTTATTTTAGTGTCTACCCTGAAGTTTGTATTTAGAATCTCGTGTATAATATAGTCTATTCTCTGGTGGTCTCTTACTTACTTGGCCAATACTGATTTAGACCCTTTGCTCTTCCCCTCCTAAATAATTATTTTCATTTATTATTCCAACTCGTGTTATGAATTTGTAGTTAGAGTGATAAGATCGTCCTTGCTTTGGTAGTTTCCTTACCTTTACCCTAATGCTATAGTTGAATATTTGCTGTCTTGTTCTGGTTCTATCCATCGGTCTCCCTAGTCTGTGGATTGTGACCCCTTTCTCCCTTTTTTGTTTTTTCAGGTATGAGAGCCTTCTTGAGGATTTCTTGTAATGGAGGGCTTTTAGTTACAAATTCCCTTAACTTTTGTTTGGAAAAGATTTAATTTCTCCCTCGTATCTGAAGGAAATTCTTGCTGGATAGAGTATTCTTGGCTGAAGATTTTTATCTTTTAAAGCTTTGAATATGTCATTCCATTCTCTCCTAGCTTGTAAGGTTTCAGTAGAGAAATCCGCTGAAAGTCTGATAGGGGCTCCCTTATAGGTTATTCTCTTCTTTTTTCTTACTTCCCTGAGTATTCTTTCTTTATCTTTCCTTCTTGCCAATTGTACTACTATGTGTCTTGCAGTAGGTCTTTTTACATTGACAAGTCTAGGAGATCTGAAAGCTTCCTCTACACACGTTTCCCCGTCAATCCCTAGATTTGGGAAGTTCTCTTCAATAATTTCATTAAGCGCACTTTCTGCTCCATTTTCCTTTTCCATGTTCTCAGGAATTCCTGTGATCCTTAAATTCTTACTCCTCATTGAATCCACTATCTTGCAGAGATTTTCCTCATTTTTTTTAATTCTTAGTTCTCTTTCTTCCTCTGTCTGGAGCCATTCAGCCTGTCTTTCTTCAATTATGTTAATTTTCTCTTCTGTGTTGTCTACATGGGCATTCAGGGAATCCATATTCTGTTTTATCTGGTCCATTGTGTTTTTCATCTCTAGTAATTCTGTTTGAGTCTTCTTTATGATTTCAATCTCTTTTGTGAAGTAACTCCAGAGCTCATTGGCTTGTTTCTCTATCTTTCTCTCTACCTCATTGAGTTTTTTTATTATAGCTGCTCTGAACTCATTATCACTTAGTTTACCTAATTCCAAGTCCTCAGGACTTAATTCTATGTTTTTATTGTTTTCCTTCTGGTCTGGGGCTTTTATAAATTGCTGGATGGTAGAGGAGCAGTTTTTTCGCATGGTGGTAGAATTCGGTTGCACTTATAGCCTGTCGCCACTAGATGGGGGTCGAGAGCTGCGTGTTATGAGCTCTCCGCCTTCGGGCAAGATGGCGGCGCCCAGTAGCTTTGCCAAGGGAGGGGCTGCTATTCTCGCGGGCCCATCTGGATTCAGATCAGTTCTGTTCTCTGGTCTCCCGAGGCCCTGGGTTTATGGGGTTCCCATGCATGGAAGCTTTCCCCAGTCAGTGGGTTTCCACTGAACCAGCGGCAGGAGTCCTGGATGATCACCTGGTCACACGGCCCCTCCCCCACTCCTTCCTGGACCTGCTCAGCAGCCATTGCAGACTCCAGGGGAGGGAGCGACGTTCTCTCCTACCCGTTCCAGCGCCTCTGAGGCCTTCAGCAAGTTTTATGATCTCTGCCTTGTTGGTATTGTAGGTCTCTAACGTGTTGGCATTAGATTTATTCTCTGAAATTCAGTTTTTCCAATCCTTTGTTGTATTTTGGAGGGGAGAGAATCCCAGGTAAGCTCACCCCACCATTTTGCTCCACCCTTTCTCTATACTAGTTTCTAGTGAATGCTTTTCTGTTCCCTGGAACCAAGAGTTGTGACTAAGACACCTGAAGGATATTCATTCCGTCTTTTCTGTGCAGATGCTAAATTTTATTTGTTGGTAAAATTACAAATAGTTATATGTTTGGATTTTATTGTTCTGTTCCCTCATAGAATTAAAAAAAAAAAAACCATGTTGGCGTTTTGCCACTGGTGTATATGGGAAATGTAAAGAAAACAGTTGTATAAGATATATCAGTGTGTTATTGAGTTCCTAGAGGAGTCTTTTTTTTTCTTAAGTGTTAGTCTGAGGGGTAGCTGGGCTTCTGAACAATTGATATGTCTATATTTTATATCCATGGACTTATGTCATTATCAAGGCATTGTTTTTTTCTGTCTGCCTAGTTCTTTTCCTTTCTGAATCTGCCACTGAAAGATAATGCTTTTCTGATGAGATTGTCAATCATATAGCTTCACTTCCCCTGCCCATGGGAGAGGGCACGTGACCCAGACTAGCCAGTTAGGATGCCTCATTCCTTTCTCCACATTGTTTGGTCCAGAGATGGGAACACAACACAAACAGGGCCATTCACAATCCAACTAAAAATTTTTTCTGGAGCTCTCAGAAAGAGACACTCTCTTTTCACTAGGATAACTGGCCATAAGAACCATGCAAATCTAGAGCTTTCAAGGCCATCATTGCCAGCAAGTGAAAGCCCACTTGAGAATGAAACCAACACAGAGGTAGCTGTCCTGAGGACATTGTTTGAGTCTCTGGACCCATCTGTACCTAAAACTAGTTCCATTCATGGACTTTTCTATTAAAGAGCCAATACATTTCTTTTGTTGTTGTTTATGCCCATTTGATTTGGATCTCTGTCACTTGCAATTAAAAGAGGCCTGACTGATACAGTTACTGATTAAGTTTTCCTCCTCTCATTGACAGATAGGAAGCTCAGAGTCAAATTTGCGTCGCACATGTAGCAAATGGACAAGATCATAATGAATTTTGTGCAATGGGCTTGTCCCTTGTTTGGTCTTCTATACCTTTTTTTCTTCACTCATATGTTATCTTGT